AATTTTCTTCTTTCTTTCTTTCATTCATTCATTAATTTATTCATTACTATTCAATACAGCTTAATCCTATTTCCATTTGTTCCTTCTAGATGAATATGAATCAATTGAAATTAAACGTTCAGTATAAATGAAGGTAACATATAAGATTATATTAGAGAAAAAAAATTATTTCTCATTGTTCTAATTTGTCTATTTTAGTATCCTCTATTTGTTCTATCAACAACTGATTAAATATCGATGCATTACTAAGTAGGAGATACTACATAAAAGCCAATATCTTCTATAGATCTAAAGAACGTTCCACGTTACCATGTTCAGATTTGTTTCTTCGAATATTGACCCCTATTTTGATACAAATCCTCTCATAGCTTTTAGATTCTCTCTTAATCATAATTTCAATAAAATTGTTAAAGCGTGTCAAATCCATGCATCTCAATCTATTTTTATTCAGTGTCACATATAATTATTTGTAGATACATTCATATACTATTATTTAAAGACAAAAGTCTTTTTTTCACTGATCTGTATCAACTCTATCACTCATATAACAACAAGTAAAACATTCAATGCTTGATGAATTGATCTGTATGAATAAATTTTTACATAGATATCAACATGGGACAATCATCGAGTATGTCTTCCGATTCATCAACATCAAGCATGCAAGATTTAGATACAAATATGTCGTCGTCGTCAACATCGTCATCGTATATCCCATATACAGCTGGAAGAACAACAGCAGCCATCGTTCCATCGTCGACATTTCCTGGTGTCGATGTCGTGGTCTATGAAAAACCTAATAGAGAAAAATCAAAATAATCAGATCATGATTCGTAGAACAACTAGGATTTGTTTTCTTACAATAAAATTGCTCAAATAGAATTAGCCTTATGTATTCTGTAGTTGTTGCTGTTTTTTTTTAGTTCTACTATTATTACACGTTTCCGTTCTTTATTCTAGATAGACATTCCTTTATTATTTCAACGTTCTTCATCTTCATCCACTATTGTCAAACAATTCAATTCAAATGAATAACGAGGATTTACAGCATTTAACTGAACGAAGAGAATTTGTTAAAGACATGAAACTTTTTCAAAAGCTTCTTCGAACAGCAAAAGTAAATGTCAATGAAGCGATGGAACAACTTTTTCTACAATTACCAAATGAATATCTCAAACGTGCTGGAGAGTTCGTATCATTCCCTAGGAACTAGTTGTCAAACGTTGCTCCAGATATTTTTGTTATTTTATTTCTACAAATGCTTAGATACTATACAATATTTTTGGACATTCATCATCAAACTCAACGAGACGCCTATGTGAGTGGTCAACTCAGAGATGAGTTTACATGGCCAACATCATTTCCCGATTGTACACCAGCACTACGTATGTTTTGTCATGAAATAATATTAAATCGAGTCATCGAATTTCTATCTTAGGACAATTTGTCGATCGATGGATTCAAGAGGAATTGCCTCGTCAAAGTCAAGCTAAGTGTCTTATTTTAATTGGACCAGCAAGTACAGGTAGATTGATAGTTATCAATTATTCTNTTTTTCTACTCATCAGTCAATTTATCTCATTAACAGACGGTCTACAATCGTGGTTATCCAACGAAAATCAATGTTTGCCAGCCTGCTATCGTGCTTCTCAATCCTGGCTCCTCTGAGGGTTCATTAAACCGAATCACGAGTACAAATGAATCACAAGGCATAAATGATGATTTCTGGAGTCTACATGCATACATATACAGACTTGGTAAGTATTCGAATGATATTCAATTGCAGTTGAACATATAGTTATGACATTCTAGGAAAAGACGAATACTTTTATAAATCTACTTAATCGAACGATGGTTTTGATACTTAGAAAACTAGACACGATATTTATCAAAATTTCTTGCTTTTCTTCCTTAGTATTTTAATTATTAGAACAATAAACATGGAAGAACAGTGATTCATCGTGCTCTAACTTTCTGTTTCTGTTAGCTCTGAAACAGTTTCAATTATTTTATTTTCCAACAAACAGCATTGCTTATAACATAAGAAATGTTTTATAATTTAATATTGAATATGATCTACATCTTTATGCCTTTTTTTCTTGTAGATATTAAAACCAACATCCTTACCTATTTCTAATTATTAATTCAAATGGATTATTCAATGAATGAACCCGCTAAACGTGCAATTTCATCATCGGAAGATGAATCACTAGAAGCCGAATGTTATTCGAATCAAGACGATACTTTTGAAAAAAAGTATCAAGTCAACGAAGATGATGACTCTTCTTCGTCTGATGATGACAATGCTGGCGACAAAAAACTATCAGAACATCATAGAGAAACATTCGATTTCAGAAATCTTGATTGGGGCGATGTTCCAACGTTCATTCATTCTATGGATCAAGGACCTATGAGTCTTTATGATCGACAAAAAGCTCGTGAAACAAAAGAGCAAATTCTAAATATTAAAAGTCGTTTAGCTCAAGAAAATTGTATTCTAAGACCACTTTACAAAAACAATGGATTTCATTTGTGTAAAAACAATGAATACCAACAAAAAGTATCTGATTTTATGACAAAAACAAGCATCTATTCGTTGATAAACAAACTAATCGATCCATATACAGATGCTAGTAAAAAATGTTTAGCTGATGTTGTCGATCAAGTTCAAACAACATTGGACAATTTACTGCATTCTCAACGTTTAACCAAACAACAACATTCACGAATGAGTATTAATCGATCATCAGTACGATTGAATTATCTATATTTCACTGTAGATACACGTAGCGTAAGTGATATTTTTCATTTATTTATTTTTTATGGATTTATTTAATATTATTGATACTACAGGAAGAATGTCCAATTCAACCAATTGTAGTATGTAACGATGGACCCACCATCGGTATCGCTGGTTATGTGGGTCATCTACTTGGATTACTTTTTAATGAGGCAACTGATTGCAAATTATTTTCTAAATCAATTGATGTCATACAGGCTGTCGAATATTATTCTCAAAGTGGACATCTACAACCAACAACTTTATTTGCATCATTCAATATCGATGATCTATGTACCAGGTTTTCTCATGATCATGCTGTTGCTGCATTAGAACGATTCCTACACTCGTATGCATTCGATCATTTAATTCAAGGCATGACAATTGATACGATTGTTCAGCTTGTTCGTCTCGTTCTCGAAAATCAATATTGTGTTTTGGGAAAAAACTTGTATCGACAAAGAATAGGTGGTGGTTCTGGCTTACCATTGACCATTCCATTGACTTATATCTATTTATTCTATTGGCAACAAGATCCAATGAATGTTTTCATCAATAAAAACGAGCTCTTTGGCAGGTATGATCGATTCTTTCTATCATAATAATTGAGAAATAAGATTTTTTTTTGTCTTTTATAATGGTACAGATATCAAGATGAGGCATTTATTACATGGAATGAATCCGAAGACGAACTTCATACAGTACTCACATTAGCTCATTCAGAATTTCCTCAATATATATGGAATACAACAGGCATTGGTTCAAAAATTTGTTTTCGAGATATCGAACTCGGTCACAACAATGGTAGAGTTCGTACGACAGTGAATTATTTGGACTCATACATGCGAAATAATACGTTACCTTCCTTTCTTGATATACTTCAACAGCGAATAGGCGACGTATGGATATGGTTAAGAGCAAGTTTATTAAATGCAGTACGCTATTGCTCAGATGAGGTGAATTTCGAGGATGTCAAGTCTCAGATGAAATTTATATTGTCTCTCAATGGCTTTTCGGATGATACTTTTAACGATGGTCTCCATGAATTCCTCGATCAATTTGGCGTCTCTACTGTGGATCCTTCGTTAACACGAACGAATTATGAAATTATGCGTCAACATGTTTTTGACAATGATAAATACCGAAAAGCAATGGGGAAAAATGCATTATTACAAAGAAAAGAACAGGTTACATTACATCTTCCTTACGTATCTCCATGCGAAACACTTGTCATAAATCAATTTGAACAAAAATTAAACAATTTATTAAGCGAACATGGAAGTGATCATTCACGAATGAAAGATTTAAAGATTAAGATTTTGCCACATCGTTCGCCTACTATTCCAATAGTGGATCTTCTCGTACATAAACGACCACCAATTCATCGTTTAACCTTACCAGAGACTGACCAGATCAACAAAAGTTCGTATGAAGCGCGGCATATTTCTTTTTAAATCATGGCTATTTTATTCTCTCGCTTCTTTAGATATCGTGAAAACGGATGAAGAAATGGTTAAAAATATTGAATTCACATTTTCAAATTCAATCTGAATGAAACAATTATCTAGCATTTCATTTCATTTACTCGCTTTCATTTTTCTTATGTAACTTTAATTCTTATTCAATTTAGTTAACCGTATTTTTTTGTTTGACTTATTCATTGGTCATTTTCTTTTCCGCCTTTTCATTCTAGATCAAATTTTTTCATACAAATGCCATCCTGTCTTCACTACGCATCGTAATCCTAGAACACACTACTCCGTCATGGTCTTTATTCATTTCTAAATCGTCACTATAAACAATGTATCTGCTATCATTACATTATATCGACATGCGACGCTTTACATCATTCGTTTACGCAACATGAACGTACGTCTTCACATCTTCAAGATAGACCGATGATAGGAGTACCTATACATCGATGAACTGCCGAAAAAATCTTGATAATAATTTAATATTTCTTGAATATTTTCGAATAATTCGTTTCAATATATTCTACTCGACACGATATACATTTGTATAATGGCTTACTATTGATTCGAAATATCATCGTAGAAATTCAGATTCTTATTTCTGAATAAAATATCGCTCGTTCTTCTATGTCCTTCCAACAAAATGCTAGAAATTCATTCGTCTATTTATTTTTATTATTATATCTATAATATTACACACCCTATACGACGAATATCTTACGTATTCTGTTATTCACATCGTACGAATCTAATTTTAGAGCATAGAAAAGCTCATGTAATGTTAATTTTTATATGATTATCAATTTATTCAAATCGGTTGCATTGGATTATCTTAGTATCGGAAAAGTAGTGCGGCCAATTATGATATGTAACAATGGCCATCTAAGAGTATATGACTATCAAATGATGGATGGTATCACCGTTGACACTATGATAGATTTGGTTTATATTGTTTTACAAAATTAATTTTGTGTTTATAATAATAAGCTATATCAACTGATCAAGGATGATGCGTCTGGACTACCATTACCTATGCTCTTGGCCTACATTATTATATTTTATGGACAGCACCGAGATCTTGTAAAATTATTCATAGAAAAAAATGAACTGTTTTATCGATAATGTTCTTAGAAACTTTTATCATATAGATATGAGTTATTTCTCGTTCAACTCTATTAATAGATATCAAGACCAAGCATCGCTTACAACAGCAAAGGAGTTTTGGAAAGTAAGCATTATTATGATCCAGATATTGATACTTTACAAAATGTATCCAATGAACCTATGGAGTCTGTTTTTCATGTCTTTTATATGAACATGTTAATTGACAAGCTAAGTTAAAGAAAAAATGTAAAAGACAAAGGCATTATGAATTATTAATTCCACGTCCACATTTTAATGGTGAAGAAAAACTAGACGTTGTGAAGGAACGCTTCCAAAGCTGGTGGCAAACATTACACTCATAAACCACAATTGAAACGTATGAATATCAAAATTCTCCAACAACCATCAGCGCTTATCAGATCAAGTGATATTTTAAGCAACAGACGACCATCCATTCGTCTTTAGGCATTCAAAAAAAAACCCAATACAATTTGTTTTTTTACTTTTATTCGTCATTGATCATCTTGATTTTTTGATAACTCCCTTTTTTTCTCAATATCCTATGACATAAGTTGATTAGGGTTTCTTTCGCCAGTTTTCAGATATATTCTATATTCTATATTCATATACACGCCACTACAAGATGAGCGCTACAAAGGACAAAGAAGTTCTCAATAATGATGAAGATCACTGGCGGAGTCAAATTTCGATGAGTCAACTATTCACTCCACAAGACCCGCTACTGACACCTAAACTACCAGGTGAACAAGAACAAAAGCTGTCGACGAAACAACGAAAAAAGAAAAGTCGTGGTAATCGAGCTGAACAACATTTCAGACGAAGACTAAATCGACGAAACTTAGATGAAGCTAGCAAAGCATCATTAATAGAAGCTCGAATGAAACGTCAAGAACAAAATGTCAACAAGAATAACATCGAGACAAATCAAATGGAAGATGATCTACAAGTTACGGTAAAACAAATCATATGAAGAGAAAAATTGATTAAAATGAATGAACTGATTGTTTTTGCTTCTTTGTTATTATCAATAGGAAGTTCCATTGAATGACATTGGTCATGGTGGTAACTCAAAAAAACGCAAACGCGACACATCAACTAACATACAAAATCATTTAAGTCAATCGTTCAGTCAATTATCAATTTCGCAAGGATGCCGAAAAAAGACGAAGAACAATATTCAATCAGAAGCTGTTCCATTGAAAACAGTTCAAGAAAAGAATAATCAATCGAAGACATCAACGAAAAGTTTAATGGCTACACACTTACCTCAATATTTAACTGTGTCGGATCGAAAATTCAAAGAAATCCTATCAAAATCTATCCATGATGGTCATAAAATTTACGAATGGTTAGATACCGATGAAAAATTAAAATTGACTCGTCAACTAGCTCATTCAGTTAACTTGATTTATTATTTAAAATTACAACAAAAATTATGGCAAGATTATTATGATCTCGGTATCAAAGATGATGTTTGGGCTCCACGAATATCCAAGACAAAGGCGAAAGAACATAATACTTGTCTATCTTATGGTAGATCAGAAAAATTCGTCGAACAACGTCAAAAAACCATTCAACATCAACTAAATCGAACTGAAAATGAATTACAACAACATCTTCATCATCTAGCAGAATGGACTGATAAAGCAAAGCCTTCAATCGATTCGATATTTCTGTCAACGGCTATTGAAAGAATGGTGAAAAATGCTCAACATCGGTTAAATGTTGAATTCCAACATAAACGTATCATGTTAAAATTGGATGTCGATGATCATCATTTGATTACATCAGTGTATGATTGGGAACCGACTGAAGAACAGGTCTGTATGTTTATAGACTAATTATTTTGAGAAGAGATGAATGAAGTGCATTGATCCTTCTGTTTTTCTCTTTGCTTTACTTTAGATAGAATTAATCAAAATCTATTGGCAAGCCATCGCTGATGAACAGAAAGCATTGGAAGAAATGGAAATTCTACGAAAACGAGCCTCCTTAAGACGATTACCTAAATCTCTCGATAATCTTGTTGATCAATCAGCTGATAATATTCAAACAATGCTTTCACGTTCTATTCTTAATAAAGATAGACGTGCTTCTATGGCATCACATTGTTCAAAGACGATTACACAGTATAAATCTGATCTGATGGAAATCGCTATTACTATAGCGCATGATACTGCTCGAGGTCATGCTCAATTGGCATTCGATACGAAAAACAAATTAAGACTACTTGATCGAAATGCATCAGAGTCGACTATGGAGTTGCTTATAAAAGCGATGGAAATTCGTGCAGAAAATATGAAGAAACGTGCTCAAGAATTACTTCAATATAAATTGATGTCTTTTTTCGAACTGGCTCCGGTGGTGATCAACGACGAAGCCAACGTATCCACCGGAGCAATATAACTATTTATACAAACATAACCGCCTCGTCACCTTTCATCGAAACTGATTTTAATCGATCATCTCTTCAAATATCCATGCTTATCAAAGGTCTTAAATATATTCCACCGTGTCAAAGTCGATTCTCACGTCAATCCATAGATGCTATTGTTAATGAACAATACACAACCTTACGTCCCAATATTCAAGGTTGTCTTGATGATCATCGTATGCAACTAATAGAACCACGTGAAAAGGAAGGATTTCCATCATTGAAACGTATGCTTTATGAACTTCAATCCAAAAAATTGCCACGCAAACTACGAATTCGTGCTCGACGCGAGCGTAAAGTGGTGCAAAGTATTTTAAAAATATTACATAATCGACCAGATATTATTATTCGTCGAACTGACAAGAGTAAAGTATTTTATATTGGTAATGCTACGGTTTTTACAGAGAAAGCATCAAAATATATGTTAGAAACAGAAGCTTACAGAGAGATATCGAATGAACATTGCATTTTATCGGAAAATCATCATCTTGTGATTAGTCTTCTTGGTTCTCTCTTGAAAAATGGTGCTATCAATCAAGAACAATACAGACAAATTTCTCCTTCAAAGAATCGATCAGAATTGGCTCATCTTCATTTTATTCCAAAACCACATAAAGTAATTTTTTTATCGACTCATAACAATTCGATATAGATATCAATATTAATTTCTCATAGCCTGATACGCCATTACGACCAATTGTAGCAGCCATCCATGCACCAGCTACACAGCTGTCGAAATTTCTTAATGATCTATTAGCACCCGTATTTCTTCGTGTCGCTCGAGAAACTACCTTTATAAATGGCATCGATCTTGTTCGCACATTGGAAAAATATGTCATCGATAAGCAACTTAAGCCAACGACTCTATTTGTTAGTTTCGATGTCGAGAATCTCTATACAATGATTCCACGGCAAGGTGCATTAATAGCATTAATAGAATTTCTAGAACGTTATTTACCCAACAAAAGAATTGGTACATTTAGTATTAATGATATCGCGAGAATGGCACGTCTCGTGTTGGATACGAATGTGTTTGTCTATGAAAATAAATATTTTCGACAAATTCGTGGGGGAGCTATGGGATCCGCCTTTACACAAACATTAGCCAACATTTATATGTTTGAATGGGAACAGGATTTATTACAAATCCAACAAGCAAATAAAGAAATTTATGGGCGGTTAGTGAAATTTAAAAAAAAATGGTATTCTTTTAATATGTATTTGTTTTATTACTGTTGTTTTCTTCAGGTATATTGATGATGTTTTTATGACAACAAATGTACCATTCGCTCAAATTAAAGATATCTTAGAACGTGCTAACAAAAAAGATCCAAATATTCGTATATCTTACTGCATCCAATCCAAAATTGATTTTCTCGATGTCACAGTCACTAATGACAATGGCCACTTGACAACATCGATTTTTCACAAATCAGCCACTGAACCTTACATACTACCATATACATCTGATCATCCTCGACATGTTTACAATAATATTCCATATGCAGCTCTGTTAAGAGCAGCTCGGATATGCTCAAATGTCGGCGATTTTGAAATGGAACGAGTTCGTATTGATTTATCATTGCTATTGAATGAATACCCGCCATCGTTCATTTCTAAACATTTCATTCGATTCTTTGAAATGAATAATGCTACATCAGTATTAAATAGTCTTAATACAGAAGCTTACCACGCATTACATCAAAAATTACTGCATCGACCGACTCGACGTGAGAAACAAATGCAAGCAAACGGTGAAGACATTAATCCAATACCAGATGTACTCAAGAAAAAAAAACCTTGGGATCCTAATGTTATGTATGCAAAATACAATTATGAGAGTGGACCGAGGTCAGTGTTTCAACATAAATTTCGTACATGGTGGAAAACGCATTTTGGTCATGAAGCATCCAGTGTCGAACATGTTCATATCAAATTTGCTGTTAAAACAAATAGAACGCTTGAAGACGCTTTCGTAAACAAGAGACCACCAAGACATATGTTGCTGAGAAAACCAATTAATGCGTTACCGCCACCAAGTTCCACAAGGAATACAATATGACAAATAATTTACCAATTATTTTGAACTAATGAACTTTTCATAACGCACATATCATAACGAGAGTTCTTGTGAAACTAAGCAAATGAGCAACAAAATTTAATAAAACAAATCATCCTAGAATACATTGATCATTTTTAGCCTTTCCAAAATTTCGTAGAAGATAATTCACATAAATTAATAACTGTTTCATTATTTCTAGATAATCCAAAAAATCGAATTTCAACCAAGTCAAGCTCAAATTCAAAACCTTCCACGAAACAAGCATAACAAAATCAAACATATAACATAATCTAAAATCAAGATATCCGTTTTCAGGAAACATTCAGGTTACCACATCAACAACAACATAAAAATTCATTCAAGAAGATTTTCAACTATATTAAAGTTGAAAAACAACGTTTACGTGAGGGTGTGGATTGGTACTACATCTAGTTGCAAACATTTGCCTTTGCTACCATATTCTCTTTTTTTTTACATTCACAAGCATACTTATTAGTAAAAGTATTCTATTTCTTTTCTATTCAAGATCTACCATCCATTACTTACTTAATTTCAATATAACTATTTTCAAGCGAAATATCTGCAATAATACCATGTGAATATATATATATATATATTACAACACATGAATTCACTGAAATTATGTCTTTCTTATTGTAGATTTCACTTAGAATGAATCATAGCTCTCCATATGAGCCATCATTACAGAACTACCATAGAGATGACAATATTGATCAGTTATTATCTACCGAGATACTAATTACAAGTCAGGAGCTAATGGAACTGTCCATCAGTACTAGAATGACAAGTCAAATACCAGCAAATCCTAGCAATATATCACATAGTAACTTAACCTCGAGACAACTAGCTCGAAGAAGATATCGACAACGTCGACGGCAGCGACTTCAAGAACAGCGGGAAGAGCAAGTTCGACAACAGCAACAAAGAGATCGCCAACACCGACGGCAGCTACAACAAAATCAAATACGAAATCCACAGCGACAAAGACAAGGGCGACAACGGCGGTCAAGCCCGACATCAGCAACCCGCCATATAACCAGAAGCTACCATGACATCGAACGGGAACGTCGATATTATTTGTCACTTGGTTTTCCTGAAGAACTAGATGACATAGATCCTGCTGAGCTTTTAGAACTACTCGAATTGGAAAACATGGACCCAGTTGAAAGAGCAGCACAGCAACAACTCGCACAATATGAACAATCCATTCAACCACAGCGATTAACATCGATTCTTCACAACATTGGACATTCAGCACAATATCAAACAGAAGAAGAATTATTACAAGCACAACAAGCCCAACGAAATGAACTTGAAAGACATATGGAAGCACAACTATTGATATTACGACAAGATCAACTTGAACAATCCTACCAAATTCAAGCTATCGAAACATTAGAGACAGAAGACTTTCCTTAAAGCATTCAAATTCACTCATCTCAGTCACCAAGCTCTATATTTCCTTCCATCAGATATCGTTAATTCATATCACAAAATTTTACAAAAACTCTTAATAACTTGCTCACTACACCTCTATCTCTATTTAAAAGTCTAATTCCATACTTTGATGAGAATCCAAAAAAACATCAACACCACCCAAAACAATATTCCTCTTCCAATTCTAGATGAAAAAATAGTCCATTTATCAAATTCGCGTGAAACTGAATCAATTAAAGCCGACTTTATTATTCTTCAGCATTCACGATGATCGAAATATACAGTTTCACAATTTAAATCAACTGGAAGCGTTCTTGTCCTGACACGGCCATATAAATATAAAGAAACTTAATAATGTGAGTAAAATGCTTTAATCATTTTTGTTCACAATTTTCAACACTGAATAATAGACATGAACTCCTATAACCACTCAGGCTTATAGTCTAACGTTCATTATGATTCGAAAACTGAAAATGTAAACGTCTTAAAACTTCTGACTATTGCAATAATTCGACTCTTACATATCACAACAACATACGATTAAGCCCTGATCGAAACGCGTCGTAAGTAGCTTTGAATCTAAAAAATTCCATTCTAAACACACCGATGTTTAAAAACTGCGATGTCTAGTCTCTTTTGATATTTCGTTTTGAAATATTGTGAGATTCTAGTGATCTTTAATCATTTTTGTTGAAAATTTTATTGGAAGTCAATTTGCTTTGATTTTTATTTAATTTTTACTTAAGGATTATTTGATCGATATGCAGTTAATTAGATTCTGAAATTACCTGATGATGGTCAGATTAAGCCCTGATCGAAACGCGTCGTAAGTAGCTTTGAATCTAAAAAATTCCATTCTAAACACACCGATGTTTAAAAACTGCGATGTCTAGTCTCTTTTGATATTTCGTTTTGAAATATT